AGCATAACGCCTAGCGGCTCACGTGTCAAAAAATGTATAGCCGGCCGGCTAGACTATAGTTGTTTATTCTTAATCTAATGCTTTGTGTTGTATAGGCAGCCATCTTTTGTCCGTTTAATATCATCTCTTAAGCGTGTGAGGTTAAGAAGTTGAGCTACTACATGGGTCAAGTTGGGTTCTTTCAAATGAATTTTGATATTGAATTATGGAAATTATGCTTGATGTGCTGAATTGCTATGAAATTCTGTCATTTTTTGGAATATGAAATTGTCAAATGATCAATTAGTAGTGGATGTGAAATAGTTATTTGATCAGGAAATATCATCTTAAGAGTTATGTTAATACTATTTTGTTCTTTCAGTTTCTTCTCCTATTTTGTTCTTATTAAATGTTTCTTTTCAACATGCCTTTCATCCAGTCCCCTTTTTAGCTCAACTATGGGAAGTCGAAGGTTTTTGAAGGTTTGTTCATCATATTGTTTTTATGCTTAACTAAAGTCTTAATTATCTTTGATGGTATGCAGATTCTATATTTTTGTTTTCACCATTGGCCATCCATACACGGAATATCTGTTAGCGGATCCAGGTGCACACTTTTAGTGCAGATTAGTGATTTGATCCTCATATTTAGCAGAAATATGTGTACGATAGACAATAGAGAAGGGTTTGAGCAAAAGGTTCATTGTATTTGGTTGTGTTTGTTGGAATGCGCTCATAAGCATTAATACATAGCAAAGCATCAAGAGGGCCCTTCTCAACAATGGATAAACTTTTACTAATTCAGGATGCAGAACATAAGGTTGATTGTTAGCTTTGGCTTGAGTAATTAGTGCAAGTTGTGCTAATTTGATGATTAGAAAAGCACTCTTGTTTCAGGTTCTTTTCTTTGCATTGTGTTGTGTATGTAATTGCATTTCGACCGCTAGACTCTTGTGGTTGACTTTTACCTAACACATTTTAATATTTTTTAACTAGCAAAAGCCAATTTAGGATGTTGAACCTTTTATGAGACAACGCACTCATAAGAATTAAAAGTCATTATTGATTTCATTCAAGTTTAGGGAAATTTGGGATTGTGAACCTTTTACTTAACACATGTTATTTTTCATGTACAATGCTTAATCTTCTCATATATTCCATTGCTGGACATTGTAGAACTGGGTTTAGACTCTCTCTTATTTGTGTGTTCTGATGGTCTAAATTACTTCAATTTTTTCATGCAGGTTCAGGAAGTAGTCAAAGAAGGTGTGGTCAAACACGAGATATTGAGCAAGAGATGTGCTGGTTGAAATACATTTATCAATTTATTTTTAGAGTTTGTATTTGAGAGGTGTATATCTTGTGAATTTGTTGGAGGAATGTTGATACCTATATAGTTTTTGGAATGATATATGATACACATTGTGTTGGGTATCATGATTTTATCTTTAGTAGACTATTTATGAAGAAAAAAAAAATAGATGTGAGTTTATAGTGTCAATAAAGAGTAAATGGACCTAATTAGTCTCCAATTGTTCTACGGACATTTAGTGACCAAACAATATGGGCACATGATCACGTTTTAGTGACCAAATTGCATGTTTTAGTGACTAAATTAAAAGCCTTTACCCTCTGTTTGGATGAAGGAATTGAAAATTACATAGAATTCTAAAATGACGGAATTTAGATCTCCATCATTTCAATTTCTGGCAATTGAAAATTTCAGTGTTTGGATTTATATATGTCGAATTTTGTCAATGACATAATTTTGTAAATGACACTATGGAAATTGTGAAATGACGCATATTTTGGTGGAAATTAAACTTGGGAATTTGATGCCCCAATTTCCACGATTTTTTCCACGTGTCATTTAATAAATTCCACGCTTAAGTTGCCAAACAAGGGAATTGTCAATTTATCCTCTTAAATTCCCAACTTTTAGCTAAATTCCGAGTTATTTTCCATCATCCAAACAGAGAGTTAGTGATGAAATTTGCGGTCACTAATAGTAGTGACTAATAGAGGTAGTCACTAATTGTTTGCGTTTCAGTGACCAATATTTGGAGTTGGCAACTGAATAGAATTTGTGACAAGCTTCAAGTGACCACCAATTTTTGGACACTAATTATATTAAGTGACCAAAATCTTTACTTTTTGTGACCAACTTGATGGCCATTCATAAACATTTTTCTTGTAGTGAATTATGGTTTAAGGTGAATAATAATGTTGTAGGAGTGTCTGGCTACCTGTCGAGCCCACTGAAAGCTGAAGATATATAATATAGTAAAAATTACCGAATATATAATATAGTAAAAATGATATTTTTCTTTTGTAAGTAGGAATTTCTACTTTCCTGTCAATCACGGTTTGATATATGTATGTAAATTTTTACTGTATATGTATTAAATTATGATTTGCAAGAAGAGAAATGTCTCCTAACACAAAAAGAGACAAGCAATGTCTACTATATATCATTATATGAGTTATTTACTCAAATGATCCTCAAACTCATACCTGAGTTGCATTTTGGTCTCTCAACTAAATTATTCATTCAAATGGTCCACCAACGCTTTATTATTTAGTGAATTGGTTCACCGTTACATTTTCTATGAGTTTTAGTCATGTGAGGAGAATATGAAGGGTAAATGTGATTTTTTCATAATGGAGTTTTCGTTTCCCTTTTTCTTCTTCTTCTTCTTCTTCTTCCCTCCCTGTACAACCAAATGACAGCGGCGTTGAAAGACAACCAGTTGCCGTCGAAGAGATGACAACGATAGCGGCTTCATTCAAATATGAATTCTCCGACTTTGATGGCCAAGGTTGCGGCACTCATTGAGCTCTGTGACAAATTACAATGGTGGAGCCGACTTGTTGCACCGCTAAATTGTAAGAAATGGGAGCAGAGGATTGAGGGAGAAGGCACATGGGTGCCTTGATCAATTTATGGTATTAGATTCCTCTCGCTGGAGTTGCAAAAGTGGAAAAAGAAAAAAAAAAGTTTCTCTTTTGTTGTTCTGTAGGATAGATGTGGGATGAGATGAAGGGGATATTTCTTGTTTTTTATTTATCACTTGTTTTTTTATCTGTTCTTCATTAGGAGAATGAAGAAATTTATGTTTTCTCCATGATGAGAGAAGAGAAGAAGGCAGAGCCACTCCCACCACCAGCCCTAGCCCACACCCATTGCCCATCCCCTTTGCGTCCTTCCTCTATCTCTGTTTTAATTAATTAATTAATATTTTAGTATAAATTGGCGATTTTAACCCTCAAATTAACGGCAATATTGATGGAGTATAATGGTATGACCAATCCGCTGATTAATAAAAAGTTGGTGGACCAATTAAACGAATAATTTAGTTAAGGACCCTTTGAAATTCATGTATAAATTTGAGGATCATTTGAGTAAATAACTCATCATATTATATCATATCGTATTGGAGTTAGTTGGAAATGGTCCATCATCATGCACCAGTATGTGGAGCCCTTAAAGCCGATAATGTGGAGGCAAATTTATGGTTTCTTCTCATATGCGGATAAGTTTAATAATAATAATATTTTTATTTTTATTTTTATGAGTTGGTATGGTTGGAAAACTTGGAAGTGTGTAGGGATCTTCAAGCGTGGATGGATGGAACGAGTGATGGAGTTTTTGATTTCGATTTCTCCAGGCTGTCTTATAACTATTGTGTCCCCAATAATACGAGGGAGATGCCTTTGGTTCCCTTTCATGAGCGTTGCTCCTATTAGGATCAGCCACGTTTGGCACCAAAGAATCTTATATGTTATAAGAACCAATCACATTCATCAACTTTAACTTTAATCTGCATTACCAAGAAATAAAACAATTAAGATGATACGTTTTCTTTTTCTTTTCTTTTTTGGGTATGAGGTTATGCGGGGGCATACATTATACATACCCCTTAAAACTCTATAAAGACAATTATAAAATCAACAACGCAATGATACAACTTGAATCAAATACGAAATTAGTAGGCTTGAATTTATCATTAATGATATGATTGAGAATATTGGATTGGATTAGCGTCAACCGCACATAACCGATTTCCTCTCCATTTCTTAGTAAGTATTTATATTCTTTATTTATAGGCGTAATTGCAACAATTCTCTATTTACAAGTTCAATTAAAAATTTGACATAGTCGCCTATGGGTCTAACCCAATGAAAATGGATTGTGACTTGCATATCAAAGGTCTCATATTCAAATCCTCACGACATTATAATTGTGTGTGTGTGCATGAGTGAAAATTTGGTTTGGGAATGATGAAAACTAATTAATTAAACAAGTTGAACTTGAGTTGATAATTAAGAGGACCATTAAATGAAAAGAGTCAAATCAATACTGCGCGAACCACAGATTATAGCCAATCAACCCACTAATCCTGAATTCAACTAGATGGATTGTAAGACCTCTACTGATTGTACGGCTTCCACGTCATAATCCCATCAATCCTTACGAACGTGTTGCTATCATCTGCCCACGTGGCAAGAGGGAAATGCACCTCTACTCTTCACCCACAGTTACCAATTTCTCCAACCGAGCGATTTCAACCGTCCGATTTCAGCCAACAGTTATAAAAACATCACCAAAACCACTGCCTATCAATCTCAAATCTTCATTTGCAATGAAACAGTTCCCAGTGGGGACCACACGCTTCTGTCATATCTACAGTAACGCCAAATCAGCCTCGTCGCTCCATCATTTTTAAATATTATCTTCTGATACTTATAGATTCCGAATTACAAGCATCGAGCCGTTGATCTATCCGTGGGTCCCACACCGACTAACGGCCTCGATTTTCCACTCTCTCTCCTGGGTGACTGGCGTTAACGATGACTTGGTTCATCATTATAATTATTGGCGCTTTTTACAGTTGGACCCCCGGTAAAAGATTCGCTGGAGTTGAGAAGCTTCCTGGTGTTCGACACGTGCCTCCTTTTTCGTCGGTGCCTTCATCGCTGTCCATGGGGGGCTACTTGTAGAGTGTTTTATTTTATTATATTAAACCAGATCTTCTTATCTGCTGCTTCACTTCACTCAAAAAAAAAGCTCTCAGTAGACCTAAAATCCCCAATTTGGATTTCCAGAATTTTCAATTGGATTCTAGGGTTTCTGAATCGGCTCCCACAATCCACCATAATTGATTTCACTCTCCTCCGCCATGTAATGTAGGGTTTCAATTTCAGCAAATATGGATTGGGTCTGGTACGATACGAAGCCAGCAAAAGTTTCAAAGAGGGTGTGGTTAGTAATTCAAAAAACGATGGGGCTCCTCGTGGGTGGGAATCACACCTCCTCCAGGTTTTGCACTCGCTAATCTACTCTCTCATTCTGTGTTTGGCTTTTTTCCCTCGCAAAGTTTTCTTATAGAATTCTTTACCAATTAAACAAAGTTCCCAACTTTACTCTTTTTGATAAAAGAACTGATCTTTGATCGAGAAACCCCGTTTGCTTGCGTTACGATTTGGGCCGTATGTTTCAGTGCCGAGTTTTCAAAATGAAAACAATCAAGGATTTGAAGGCTCTGAAATCGCAGATCCTTCATGGGTCTTTGGCCAGGCGTGTGTTTTTCCGCGCTTTCTTTATCGCCTCGGCCATGTCCGTTATACCGTTGATTCACATTTTGTCAGGACCCTATATAACAATGTTCACTTTTGTGAATCCGGGTGACTGCGCCTCCGAATTGGGCCATACCCATGTCGACTTGGCCCCGGGAAAGTTCAACTTTCAGAGTCGTTACCTGAATCCCTTTTGGGGCTCTTTCGATTCGGACCGGTGCAAGCAAGATGTGAACTTGACTGTCAGCGTGGTCAGAGAGCTTATGGGCAAGCAGCTATTGAATTATGGTACAAAAGCTCTCTGTGTTGGAGAAGGCTCCGCCTCAACCGTGTTGGCGTTGCAAGATTTGGGTTTCCCCAATGCTCGTGGTGTTTATGAACGCCGGTTCTTCTCACTCAAGCGCAAACAGTTCGTGTACGAAATTGACTATGAGGACAAATCTTTTGATTTTGTGCTCTCCAGGGATCTAGATAAGGTTTCTGTCCCTGCGCTTCTTGTGCTCGAGATCGAGCGTGTACTTAGCCCTGGTGGGATTGGGGCAATACTTGTGGGTAGCAGCATTTCCGCCCCGAATAGCTTGATTAGGTCTGCCACCCCAATTTCTTCGTTACTGAAAAGTTCCAGCGTTGTGCATGTTAACCACATCGGTAACTTCACTTTGGTTGTGTTCAAGAAAAGTTATGAAAATGCTGGGCTTTTTGAGAAGTATCGCCTTCCGGCTGACTGCCAATCTCTCACAAACAATCGACCTTTCATTGGGAAAATGGAGCCTCTTGTGAAGGAAAAGCCAGTCGATTATGGAAAGAAGTTCAATTATTTGCCTAATTTTGTTGATCTTTCCTCAAAGAATCGCTTGGTCTATGTTGATATTGGGGCAGCGGAGCACCTGAACTCAAATGCTACAAATTGGTTCCTGCCCTCTTATCCCGTCGAACGCAAATCTTTCCATACTTATTTTGTTGACCACAACACTTCTGTTCTATTGTCCTATGTCAAAAAGCCAGGAATCACCTTTGTTTATCATCCAGGGCTGGCTGGAATTAAGGCTCAAGTCAATGTTACAACTGATGGAGAAACAGAGCCATATGTGGGAGATGAAGGGTTTGATTTCCATGCCTGGTTTAAGGAAACAGTGCAGTTTGCAGATTTCGTGGTCCTGAAGATGAATGCAGGGAATGTAGAACTGAAGTTCCTCGCGGAGCTGTTTGAAAGTGGAGCCATATGCTTTGTAGACGAGCTGTTTCTTCATTGCTCCAGCAGTGTTGATGCAGGAGGTGCAATGCCGGTGGACTGCATGGACATCTTCAGAAGCCTCCGTAGCAGTGGTGTCTTTGTGCATCAGTGGTGGGGAGACGGCAACCCTGTTGATGTTCTGTGATCTGTTCGGTTTGATCATGTTTCAACCGTGCTGTTGTGTTATGTTGTTGAACTCGGTAAGTTACCATGTAGGATGTGGGGGACATTAATAGTCCCTACATCAAAAGTTGCTTTAATGGTTGGGCACTTAGGTTAAAATAAACAACCATTGTTATCTTGTGTGGTGTGTACTGTTTAAGTACTTTGTGTAGGATGAAAAACATCCAAGTTGTTGCTTCATGATTGGTTGGCCATTTGAGCTTTCCAACTTGGTAACTTATTAATCGTATGTTCTCTGTGTGTTTTATATGGTTTGCCTTTGATTCTTTTTCTTGGAAACTCGTTTAGAAATGCTTTCTAGGCCCCGCCGCCGAAGAACTTGATATGCTTAAATTGGTGGAAGGAAAATTTAACCCCTAATCTGATTCAATCTCCTGTTTAACGTCTTATAATTATTTGTTTATGCCCTAAGCACAGCGTGGTGATGGACTTTGTTATGAGCTTCATGTTTTTACCCCACAAATGAAGGGGGAGTTTCTTTGCTTTACTTTTTCGCCGTCGCCTTTGTGCTCACCCTGGCTTTAGTATGACCACTTTGTTGGCATTATTTCAGGGCTCACAACTGCTCGAGGATTGAAGCAATCAGCGACTTCACTGGCTACAATCAACACTAGAAAATGATACACCCATTTTATCGTTAGAAAGACGTAGACTAACATAAACTGTACATAAAATGTAGAATCAGAACTGTACAGAAGATTGATTATAGTTTCAAGTGAAGTTTCACTTTGGTCCATATAGTTTCAATTGTCGTGATTTAACCACTGTAATTTACTGATTGTTGCAATGTGAGCAAAATGGCTTAACTCAGCCACTATTTCAACGGAATTAGCATGTGTGTGGGTGGCGTTTTTATACTTCCAAAAAGGCCAATTTACCCTCTCCTATTTCACAGGCAAGCTAATTATGTTGAAGAAATGGACAAAATTAAGTCATTTAATTGAAAATTAATTGAAATCACAAGGATCAAAATGAAACTTAGCGAAAACTAGGAGACCAAAATCGTACCTCTTGAAGGCCAATCACAATCTACTTGAAAATGCACACTTGGAGACGACCTTTGAAAAAAAAAGGACCATGGCAGCTTCAAGAGACTTGACACATTCATGTTTGCTGATATAAAATAATGAAAGTGATAGACGATCTACCGCACTAAATTGTTATTAGTAGCAATTATTTAGCGCCATTAAGTTCACTGATTCATATATGGCCACAAAAAGTTGATAATGAAACCTCTCTTCGACTTTTGCTAAATTGTGAAGATTAAGCTGTTTTGCCGTCGGTGGCAAGTGCCTGATTTAGTAATTTTACCTTACCTTAAAGCATAGAAGCCTCAAGTTACCTGCTCACCTGTGGAAACTAGAAAAGTGTGATAAGACAAACTCTCTTCAGACTCCCCAAAAAAGTCAAATGGACCAGAAAAAAACTATGTCTTATACTTCTCTTTGCCCAGTTGGAACTGGAAAATTTGTGCCAAATACTGCAAATGATTATCTACATTAACCTTTCTTGAACGAAATAATTACAACAGTAGAAGCAAACCAAATGTAGAACATGTATATTTGTGAAGCATTGCCACTTGACACTTCATACAGCATATAACTTGCCTTTTGATTCTTGAAAAACAAATGAGAAGGAAGAAAGGAGGGGGTGGGGAAGGAGGGTGCCATTAACCATACAGAATGCTAGTGGCAGAACACATCCTCTCATTCCTCCGGGCCATTGTTGACCTTTATCTCCAAAAGCCTCTCAACTGGTTGTCGGCAAATTGGGCAACGGTTTGTCTGGAATCTCAAAACCTTGGCACACCCACTGCACATGCACTGCAGCAAGAAAGAAAATCCAACCAATAATCAGCCACGAAGAATTTTTTATTCATGTTGAGTGAATTTCATTAGTTTGTCAAGATGATAACTCGATGGAAGCAAGTTAATGTAATCCTTTAAAACCTACAAAAGATCCTCAGCTCATTCCATTTGCAATTGTGACAAACTTTGAAAAGAAAAACAGGGAAGTATAATTACCATGTGTCTGCATGGAAGAACAGTTGTGTCACGTGGTTCAGACAGGCAAATGACACATTCTTTTCCTGGGTCATTCCCGTCCAAGTCACCCTCAACTGAATTACCAATGCCATATATCTCCTGTAGTTCATACCTCATCCCATTCACCCAAAGAATCTGCTTGACAACCCTCACCTGGAATTCACCTTTCTCCCTCTCAAATATGGCCTGAGTTATCTGGGAGTTCGTTGTTACGGATACAGGGTTTCCCTCTGATCCATCCTGGTTAGGTGGGGATGCCTCTGCCTTTACAGCTATAGGATAGATATCCAAGTCCGTTACTTTCAGTAATTCTGTCTCCTCAAACATTGAGAAATTAATTCCAGTTCCAGAGGGCTGTCTGAACTTCTGGCCGAGACCTTGTTGAAAATGTACCGTCACAGGTGGAAGGTTAGACTTTGTTGGTGTCAGGTTACAGTCCTCACTTTCTTTCGCAAAGAAGATAATGGTGATGCTGTTTCACAGAGCCATATATTAAGATTAAAAATGACCAGATGATCAGATAATGTTAAAGAACATAAAAATGTAAGGATCTTAGTGCACTACAATCTTAATAAAGCCTTGTCCTCCAACAGTTATGCATGTAAATCAAATGAGTTATCAACACCTTGGCCAAAAAAAAGATACCATTACTATAATTCCACATGGAAATGTCATCACAGCATGGTATTTGAGTATGATCTGTTATGCATAAAGTATCATTCCTCGTGTACCTCAAACAAGGGAAATATACTAGGTTGTGGAATTTAAGTACCACAAGAACATACCGAGCTGAAAGATTAGATGGCCACATATATGAGAATTTCTTATATCTCAACACCACCAAAACCATATAGAAACCTAAAGTCCTCACATCATCATCTTATATTTCCTAATTGACATTTCTGAGGTAAACACCCTCATTAATCCCTATTCATTGTCACCAATCACGCTCTTATCCCATATGAATTGTCTAGACACTTATGCCCTTTCACTTCAGTAAGGTTCCCAAGGCAATTTTACCTATTTTATATACTATAATCACCACTGAGATCACAGATGACTGAAGGTCACTTGATACATATTGTTGGTTTGCCACAGTTCCAAAAACCTTGGTAAACCAACAAGATTTATCTTAGTATCATAGAATATGATTCAAATCCTGAAAACTGAAAGATAAGAATTTATGTTAAAATTCATCCATTTGGATCTTTAGGGGTAGGAAAAGGTCCACATGTTAGGGAGAGTGTTAGAATATAAATAAATAAAAAATGGCTCGCATCCTAACAGCTTAAGCTTTTGGAAACAATTAGAACTGAAAAACCAACAAAATCAATCATTGGTACACACCATCAAGTCACCTATCCAACCTGTTAACCTATCCATCTTGCCTTCTTCAAAAGCAATACGAATGGATCAAGCTAGAATGGCAATCATCACTTCAGAATGGTGATGCAAGTCATGTGCTTTTCAATAACACTTGGATTCTCACCAAAATTGTCTTCCAAACTTCCATAACTAGTAATCTACTATCAAATTGATTACCAATTTCTCTCAAAACTGCTACTTTTCCAAACTGTCTCAATCCTACAGATTCAATCTCCACATTCCACCAGTCCAAGCTAACACAACAAAATAAAAACAACCAAACCAATAACAATATAGCCCAATTAAGCTAATCCCACATAAAACCAAATATCAGCCCCCAATTAGGCATTTAATGCAGAAACAAAACATAAGTTAGTGAAAAAGCAAACTTCAAGTTCAAGACAAAAGCTTTAAGCTTCATATGATACCTCCCAGCAACCGTGGCATCAAAAGTAAAAGAGACAAGGAAGCTTCCAGGATTTTCCTCATCGGGCTCGACCTTGAGAGATTCCTTCTTCAGATTCACATCGTTCCTTATAGTAACCGCCTTCTGATGCTCGACATACGGCGTCGGAGCCTGCATTACAGGACCGCACCGGTACCGGCCGCCGGCCCAATTTGGATGGGCCGGGTCCATATGCGGGTGGGGCACACGGTGGTGATGATCGTACGGAGCAGGCAAAGGCATCGGCATAGGCGGCGGCGGGTAGTAGCCCGGGTACTGGTAGTACTGTGGCGGGTTCGAGTTGGGGTTCGGGTTCGGATTATGGTTCTGGTATTGAGACGGGTACGGGGTCGCCGCGGCGAATACGTATCGGTTTGGAGAGATTTCGGGCTGAGGCGGCGCGGGAGGCGGCGGAGACGGATGGTTTTGGCGGGCCCCATGTCGCCGCCGGGCGGCGTTGCTTCTACTGCCGCTGTTTCCCATGTTGGGTTTGGTGGTGTTCAAAATTTTTCTCGGGAAGCAAACAAATTCAGCCTGAAAACCTTTGGTTGTGTTATCAGACAGATTTAGAAGATGTGAAAGATTTTTTATTTTTTATTGCTCAGAGAAGATGTGAAAGATTGGAACTTTGTTTTTGTTTTTCTCTTCGTGTGCTGTTCCAAGTGAAAGAGAAATTTGGACACTAACAGAGAAGTATAAAAATGAACCCAAAAAAAAAAAAAAACTAATAATAATATATAGGAAAGGGACTTAAAATAAAAATAAATAAATAAGAGAGAGAGAGAGAGAGAGGAATCTTGTAGAGTTATGTAATAATAATGGGTGGGTGGAGATTGGGTGGAATGGGTTGCGTAAAGCTCCACCCAAAACACCATCCATATGAGATGATGGGAATTGAGACTAGAAAGGGTTTATGCTCCACAGCTAAAGCTAACAGCTTTTTCCTTTTTCTAATCTGTATATGTCGACTTTATTAGATTACACATGAATTCAGCAGACCAAGAAGAAAGAAGATAAGATTAAGTACATGAAAGAGGTTGTAATTGCCAGAATAAATTCTACCCGCAAGCTTAGCATGGTATCAGTCAGAGCACGCTTAGTACATGTGAAAGTCGAATTTGTATCTGTTCTCATGGACGGAGAGGGAGTGTCTTGTGACTCCAACCTTAACGCTCCAGGCGAGTGTTCGCATAGTCTCCCGTTGCCCAGAGTTCTTCGGCATATGTAAGTGGATTTTGCAAGGACAAGTTCTAACTGTGTACTTGACATATGTGTTCAATATGCGCACGTTGAAGCTAGCATCATATTCATACCAATGCCATGCATGCATGTATGTTATTGGCTTGAGGAAGAAGAATGCAAGTTGGCTTGCTTGGGCATGCGATTCATGATTCATGATATGCCTGATTTTGGTTGCCAAGTTGCTATTCATATCGAGGCAGTGAATGATGATGTCAATTTGTTTGCATTGGAGATGGGCATAAAATGAAAATTACTATCATATTGATATTCAATGGCATCTTTTTCTCTTGATAAGAATTGAAAATTTCACAGATAATCATGTCTTTATAAATAAATTAGGAGAAATGATGCATTTGTGGCTCAAAAGAACTTGGATGTGTCACGAGGATAACATTGTTTTGCTATCCCAATCTAATCATGTTTCGTCATGTAAAATTATTATCACGCATAATGAAACGTCATTAATTAGGAAAAACAAAACAATGTTAGTCCGTGACATACAAATTTTTATCTTTTTTAAACAAAAGGGAATGTGGTTCCCACTTCACAAGCAACTGGGCAATCCAAGTGTGTTGAACCCCCCACCCCACAAGAGATATTTTGAGTTATGCATGCCCCTTATCTCCCCATGTCATGAATTATGTATTATTATGCATACATAACCTTTGTGTGATATTCTGTCTGTTCATCCGTTGAAATTTGAAAATTTTATAACATATTTCAATACATACAAAATCATTAAAAAAAACGTACTCCCATGAATATCGTTGTCGTCAACCAAGTTAAAGTTTCACATCTTTATTACCTTTACCATCTTCTTTTTCCTGATAGCAACCATTAAAGTATAAATTACTGAGATAGGTAATATGCAGCACTTATTTCACCGTCTCTAGTTAAAACTCTACCTTGTTGAAAGTCAAAACCAGTCTCCATCACCATCTTTATAAGCCCAGCAAAAAAAAAAACTTACCTAAAGGCTGTTTGTGCCTAATTTTGCACTTGTGGCATGAATATTAAAGGATATGTTATATGCCTTACGCGTGTAGTCCACTATAATATCTAGCAACATGCACTATTCTTTTTTATTCAGGATACCTAATTCCATTACATGGCTTGCTCGTTTCCTTGCAAAACAAGTAACCTAACATTGAGACTTGACAACAAACCTACTTGTGTAATTTGAAGACGATGGCATATCAAATCCCTCATCTATCTCACAAAATTACCAAACTAGCCATGAACAACAAATTATATATATATATATTTTGTCTCCTAAATATAAATATAGTTGGACAAAAGTCAGGAAAACCAATTTAATTGAAGGGGGTTTATATATGATATGCTTGATTTTGAGTGTCGATTTTGATGGCTATCTTCTGTAATGTATCATGTGTATAGGTCTGTTTCAACAAAGAGGCAAGGAAATCCAGTTAAGGTCCGAGGATAAGGAAAACGTGACAACGAAAGAGGAGAATTTCAACTGCTTGTAATTAACGCCATCCAAGCTAATAATCCAAAATGCTAAGTTGGTGTGTGAGAATAGAATCTTAAAGTGTGATTAAATGCCTTGTTGATCATTCATATATAGAAGATTATTGTCTCCCTTGATAAGAGTGATCAGAATATAATGAATTCATGGGAGCTTCTACGATAAGGGAGATTTTGGCGAAAGGGTACTTAGGGGAGTTCAGTAATGTTTTCCAAGCCCCTTTTTGGTTTTCTAAATCCAAAATTCATTAGATACGCGTTTGTTCGGTGGGGTTTTTTTTTTTTTTTTTTTTCATTTTAAACATGTGATACTATTTTAAAGAAACAAGATAAAAAATACTGTGTAAAATTGAGAACACATTAAACATGTTTTCCCGTGTTTTCAACGAATACATGCATAGCTCCTTTTTCTTAACAAGCACACTATTAGTGGGCCAATTAACAAGGGCAATGAGCTTACAAATTCAACAATTTACTTAAATATCTGACTCAAAACCAAGAGGATTTTGGGCTAAAGAAAGGTGATTCATAATGGATTTGAATGGCGTGGAAATTTGGTCTAGCCAATTTTGTCATTTGTCGCAAGAGATGGAATTGATCAAATCAAAATTTTGTCACAGCTTCTTATTCTAGAAAGGTCTTATTCTTGCACATTCATATACCCAATTGGCATTACTTTGGCGGATATTGACTTCTTTGACTTCAAACTAAATAAAACATTTCGATGCGATTATTTATAAAATCAATTCCAACGTGTAGGGTAGGACTTGTACTGTCCAACAAGAAGCCACAACGCGTATAGTAGATATTAGATATGGTGTCGTAGAGACCATAGACCATAGACTAGACCTCCTAGTTTACTAGACCGGTCCCAACTTCCAAACATAAATATTTTGGATATGTGAACCATCTACGAGAGACTGTTGACAACACTCATTCCTCCTTTCAAACTTTGATTCATTCAAATGTGTGAACAAGAATACCTTATAAAACCACAAGCCAGGTTTGTTAATGATTGTGTACTTTGTTCATTGGAAAGACAAGGGTGTTTTTGTCATATGAAGTTGACAGACTTGCCACATGACACCATGACTGTGCCTTGACTCGGCACGATGATGACGGTAGTAATGCTAGAGAAACCTCATTTTTGATAACATATAATTTCATTAATTAATCACATGAAGTAAAGTTAATGAATTTAAAGTTGGGATTTATGACTTCCAAATTCCTTTTTTTTTTTTTCATAGGAATTTCTAAATTTCTATGTTTTTTTATATCCAAACACGGGAATTGATGCATGTCAATTTAGAAATTCTGACTTTTATCAAAATCCCAAGTTTATTTCCTTCATCCAAACACACTGTTATTGATGCATACTTTTCATTTTATTAAATCAAATCATGATTTCAAATTTCGTGAACGATATTTATTGAAAAAAAAAAACCAGATAATAGAAATAAAAAAAGGAAAGAAAGAAAAAATATGTTAACGTTAGTCAATACTAGAAACAAAGAGTAGGCTTTCTACACATTAGCGTGTTATGTAATCGTCTGAAACATGTGAGAAAATTACAATCTCTTCAACATATTATAATGTTGTCAATGGAATTTCATAATCTTGGGGAAGGAATTGTTAATTAGGAGAGAAAAACAGGGTAAAAGGGTATGGCTGATTCAATCCTTCCGTATTAGTTTCCAAGGACCTTCCTAAGAATCAGTATTAACAATTGGTCTCCAAACAGTCTTTGCACGTTTTGGTAATATGACTTGCTTCTCCCTTTTAGGCGTGTTGATGTTAGGCAGTTAGACGTTTAACTTTATAAACCAATGAATTGTGGTTTTTATTTTATTTTATATTTTAATACGAGTGATATTATACTTTAAAACTAATCTAAACTGTAAAGAGGAGGATTTAAATTCGGATACAGAGTGGGGAGCATATCCGCTCTAAGCAACTTGGCTAGGCCTATGTCTACATGAAATCTATTTTTATCTAAACCTAATAAAAATTGAAGTAATATTTCTCGATGGATTAAGTTGATACGGCATCCATAGGATATTATTTAAAACATAACTAGCCCCTTGGCGCATGTTCAATTGGTTGTTTTTTTCTTTTTTCTTTTTTAAATTAAAAAAAAACATGGCTATTTATGTTCCATAAAAGTATGACATATTATTTGATTTTTTTATTTATTTTAATTAAAAAAAATTAGTATGAAAAAATGTGAATTTATCATATCATCCTCATTTAATTAATAATTTCAATTCTTAATGTTTGGATTAACCAATGATATTTTTTGATATTTTGAATGTTTCATCATTCTCTGTCTTTTGCTTTATATATATATATATATATATATTAAAAGGCCAAATTTTATTTAATGAAAGTCATAATAGAAGTTGGTTGCTAACATAAACCATGATAAATGCAAATAATTTTACTTCAACCAAATATGAGAGTGAGGCCAAATTACGTACAGAAACAGACGGACAGACAGACAGAGACCCCTTCCCAACAAGAAATATAAAAATTCTGATGGAAAAGAAAACTGAGTTCAAACCATGAGAAAGTCTGAAGTCAAATGCCGCGGGCAATATAATAATTATAATTCTGCGTCTCCATTTCTGTTTTTCCCAAAGCTTATTGTTTCTTGGGTTACTCTCTATAAACTATAATACATTTTAATTAGGCCAAAGTTTCAAGATTTTAGCTTTCAAGTACATACCTTGGGCGAAATAAAAAGCTGCAACATGAAGTTCCCAATTCCCTGCACAGGTTGCTTCTTCTCCTCACCTCAAAATGTCATGGAACAAGGGGTGCAAGGTATTAATGAGATGTCTGCCTCAGTGTTTTGTGTGTTTTTCTTGGGTTTTTTTGTGTGATTTTACTGTGTTCTTGATTGGTTTTTTGTACTTGGTAAATACCCAGATGGAGAAAATCAAGAAAGCTTCAGAATTTTCTCTTCCAAGGAATTGAAGTCTGCCACTAATGGCTTCCATTCCTCAAAAAAGCTTGGAGAAGGTGGCTTTGGCTCTGTCTATAAGGTTTTTTTCTTGGCCTGCAACATAAATTCTGCAAATTTGGTTGAGTTTAGCTTATGTGTGTAATTTAGCTGTGTTTTGCTGATATGGGATAAATTTTGGTTGAGTTTTAAAGGGTCGGCTTAGAGATGGCAGTCTTGTGGCTATAAAAGTGCTTTCCACTGAAATTGAATCTATGAGAGGAGAGAGGGAGTTCATTGCAGAATTGTCTGCTCTGTCTGTAATCAGACATGAAAACCTTGTTAGGCTTCAAGGGTGTTGTGTTGATGGAGCTGGCAGATATTTGGTCTACGATTACATGGAAAACAATAGCCTCACACACACTTTACTTGGTAAACCTATTCTTCTAATTTCTAAATTTGATTACCTTAATGATCCTCATTTTAACTATTGGTATTTTAATTGGTTGATTTTAGGAGATTTTGTTATTTATCTGAAGTAATTATTGACAGCTACAATGAACGCAAATGAAAGAATATGATTTTAGGAGACTTTAGTTTCTCATATTGGTACATTAATTTGTTTATTTTAGGAGATTTTGTGATGTATCTGAAGAAAATTATGGACAGCTACAATGAATGCAAATGAAAGACTATGATTTTTTAGGCAAATTGTGTAATAATGTGATTAACAGGTGGAAAGCAAAACAGGATGAGATTTAGTTGGGATGCAAGGAGGCATATTTCATTAGGGATAGCTCGAGGACTTGCCTATCTGCACGAGGAGGTTGAACCTCACATTCTGCACAGAGACATTAAAGCCAGTAACATACTTCTTGATGAGAATTTCACACCAAAAGTTGGTGATTTCGGCTTATCAAAGCTGTTAAGAGACAACCATTCTCACATTAGTACTCGTGTAGCCGGGACAATGTAAGTTGTTAAATTGCTAATTCTTCTTGCTTCATGCTTCTCTGCCTTTGGATTATTATTTGAAATGCTATTGCATGCTAATGGGGTGTCTCACAATAATCCAAAAGAGGTTATCTTGCTCCAGAATATGCGATTAGCGGGCGTTTGACGCGAAAATCAGATGTTTATAGCTTCGGAGTACTGCTGTTGGAAATTGTCAGCGGCCGTGCAGTTGTGGATTTCGACTTGGAACATGGGGAGCATCACCTGGTTCAGAAGGTAAGCAAATTAGAGCAATTTATCACTACCCGCTTTGGCCATGCATTTTTATTCTGTCATATGGTAGAACTGAAGCCATGTTGTTTGTGAATATGCAGGCATGGGAAGCATTCAAGGCTGGTAATCTTGTACAATTAGTTGATCCTACACTTCAAATGAACTTTCCTGAAGACGAAGCCATCCGGTTCTTAAAGTTAGGCCTTCTTTGTGTGCAAGAGATGGCCAAGCTCCGGCCGCAAATGTCAAGGGCTGTTAAGATTTTGTCTGGTGAGGTAGACATAAAAGATTCTCAGATTTCTGAACCGGGACTTGTTTCTGATATCATGGAAATCAAAATGGGGCAACAGCAGTCATGTGATCAGAGCACTTTCTCCAAAGCCTCCACATCCACTAGCACGCAAAACCAGAGTAGATCTGAGGACTTTGTGATGTCCTTATAACCATCCTGTAAGGCTTATTTTTCTCAACTTTTCCCAGGAAGATCATGTGAGCCTACAGAAGATTCATTGTTTTTTGTTGGATGTCTTTGTGTATATATATAATCTGCACGCCAACTCCATTTGGACAAGTCATGTAGATATATAACTCAAGACAACCAATTTTGTTTTTTTGTTTTCTGTTTTTTGTTTTTGTTTTTTTTGGGGGGCTTTAAATTGGCTAATTATTTGTGGGATGTGGAGGTATTTTTCCTTTGTTTCTTGCTGTTGTTGATAGTACTTTGCAGAACAGATGTGTACAAAATTACCTCCAATAAATTAATGTGGCCACCTACTCAGGTGTTTAACTTTCTCGAGCTGTTTCTGTTATTTGCTATGCCTAAGAGCATCCACAATGATGCTCTCTATTTCTTAATTAAAATTTAGCTAAGAATATAAGAAAACTATTTTAGAAGCTCTCTAAAAAATTTCAACTCCAACCATACTCCATAATTTGGAGAGTTATAAATGCTATAACTCTTTTTTGATTGGTCCATCTCTATTAAAAAAAGTTAACATTAAATAAAGGTTTGAAATACTCATTAAATTATATGGAGCCAGTGAGAGTCATTTCTCTCTCCTCAAATTTAGGAGCTCCTAGAGGACTCTTTGTTTTAAGAGGTGGACAGGGAATGTGATTGGAGTTGCATTTCTACTATTCCTCCATAAAATTTATCTAAGTAGCCCATTGTAAATGCTCTAAAATTCATAAACTGCGGCAGAGACGTTAATAGTTGAGGAAGCATGTTTAAATATGAACCAAAATGAATCATAAGAGTAAATATAACAACAAAAAAGCAAAATTTATTGAAATATACAGAAGGGTTAACTTTAACAAAATGATATTGTAATGTAGTGCTCCATTATCTACCCAAGTAAATGACACATGATATACATGGCTCCATGTATGTCAGTCACTTTGGCCGCCAGTTTTCTAGTAGGCTTAGCAGATGGCATACACAGGGAACCATGCATGCCATTATATGCATGCACATAAATACGTGATGCAAGCCAATTGGGTCTAATCTAATGGAAAAAAGCTTTAACTTGCAAATCAGTGATTTTGGATTCGAACCTCATAACACTTTAATGGTGTGTATGTGAGAAATCATCTCTTTCTTGTAGTTTAGACTATCTCTTGTATTCAAAACAAAAACATGTAATACAGAACACAAAGCTATTGAGTATGATGAATGTGAAGCAGTACTTAAATAGTAGTGGAGGTGTCGAGAGCAGGTACCACAAGTGGTGGCCTTCCCCTCCTCCTGCTTGACACCTAGGTTAGAAACCCCCTTGGGGTTTCTGTCCTCCCAATGTAACTAAAAAAAAACATAATAGTAGTGCGTGTCATTTTCTATAGCTGAAATCAGGCATAATAAAGTAAGCTTATATAAGGGACTAAATACGCCTCATGTACCTCCCTTTAAACTTTTTCCCCACTATTTCCTCAGGGTTCATATACCAATCAACTACCTTTTGAGTTGGCAACTTGCATAAAGCAAACAGAGCTCAACAAACCACTCCATCTGAACGGCCGGTACTTCCTTTTCTATCTGTCTTCAACTTGGTTAAGGTTGCACGAGTAATGTGGGGCTACGAGAGAGAGACAGAAGCTGAAATGGAAAAGGGACGGATGAGGTTGAAAATCTTTCAGAGGCTACCATAAAGTTTCTGGGATCTTTCATTCTTTTGTACATCATAACTTTCTCTTCTGAAACCCATTTGTCTTAGAGTGCTTGGATGAGTTGGATTCCCATTTCTCAAATGGGGACTGCTAGACAGAGATTGGTCTTTCAATCTATTCAATTCAGAATACACTGTAGTTTTCACATTTCTTAATTCTACAAGGTGTTTTAAAGTAGAACCTTTTTGGGGTAGCATGGAGCATTAGCTTCTACATCTGGTTTAATTAGTAATGTGTGTAGTCTCTGTGTTCATGTGCCTACAAGAAACATGCGTCGAACGAATGAGAGCACCGAAATGTTGCACCACTTCCATGTCAGTTACCAGATATTATATCCAACTCACAGCATATATTTGACAAGTAATTCAACTACTGATTAATTAAGCATTTCCCTCTTGTGCAATAAATGCATTTTTGCAGTTAAAACATCTAAGAAGTATGATGGTGATTGTTGACAAATCTAAATCAGAACATTGCTACCTTCTTAGCAAAGCACTCAAAAGGCAATGAGGTCTCAGATGCTTGAAATCATTGTAACAAAATTGTAGAATCTCAGGGCATGGTCAAGCATTAAAAAATTCTCTCCAATGCTTTACATGAGAAGGAAAGTTAATAAATAAAGCTTCATGCGGAAACTAATGTAGAATGGTACAAAAATAGTGTTCCCTTCACTTTGTGAGGATTAAGGGAAAATCAGAAACAAAGAAAAAAAGAGTAAAGAGGGAGTAAACCAACTTCATTTACAAGAAGCTCGTAAGATGTACAGTTGCAGAAGAGCAGTACTTACGGGAACAGTTGTAACACAAATTGTTCAATTCATCTTTGATGAATATCCGGCGACCTGGTTCAGAAATTAGAAGGTCAAACCATCTTTCACAATGTGCTCCAACCAAGATGCAATATCCGACATTGCAGGACGCTCGGTAGGATTTTCCTTTACAGCCAGTCCTGCTATATCAGCAAGCTTAAGCAATGGCTCAACATTTCTTGGAAGAGCTACGTAACGATCAATTATGGCAGCTGCCTTGTTCTGTTTAATTAAAGGTACTGCCCACTCGACTATGCTAGGAGGAGTGTAATCTGTGTCGAATGCTTTCCTTCCACTGAGCATCTCAAGCAATACTATTCCAAAGTTGTAAACATCACTTTCTAAATCTCCACTATGATCCTTGTCATTAGATGTAAGGAGCCCGAAATCTGCAATTCGTGCATTCCATTCAGAATCCAAAAGAATGTTTGAGGACTTGACATCCCGATGAATGATGGGAGGCACAAATTCCTTGTGAAGGTACTCAAGCCCCTTGGCAGCCTGCATTGAAATTTTCAACCTGAGGACCCAGTTCAGGGCAGAAAGCCCACCATGGAGATGGTCATGAAGTGTCCCATGGGGCATATACTCATATACAAGCAGCCTCTCCCCCATCTCTGAGCAGTAACCCAACAAGTTCACAATATTACAGTGGCGGATTTTGCAAAGGACCTCTAATTCCATTTCGAAGTCCCGACTGTTCGTGTGAATTATAGTGGCAGCATTTGCTCTCTTGACTGCAACTTGCTGTCCATCTGCTAGCACAGCTTTGTAAACAAAGCCATAGCTTCCCCTGCCAAGCTCATTGAACTCCTTGAATCCGTTGGTGGCATCTTTTAGTTCTGAGAGTCGGAAAACTTGAGCCATTCCAGGACAGGAAACTACAGATGGAAGAGGGTGTGAATCCTCATTATTGTCAGCTTCCAACTCTGCTTTCCCAATGCAAGATTTAAACTGCTTTTTGTTCCCTTCTTCTTTTCGAGAAGTTGTTAATCGGGGAAGAAGACACCAACTAACTAATATCAACAAAAAACCCAAAGCAGAAGACCCAAATATGATCACCAACCTGCGCACATGATGCCAAAGCTTCTTCTTCATTTCTGGAGGTGTTTGAAGCCCACAAATATCCCAACAAGAGCTGTTTTGGCAAAGAGAGCAAGCTGTGCACACTCTGTCAGCATGTTCAGTGCATGAGCTGGACAAGAAGAATCCTTCAGAACAATTTGACCCACAAGGTGAACAAATGGTTAGATCTTTCCTAACACACAAGCTTGTCAAATCAGCCTCATTAAGGATGCTGGCATTGAAAGCAAACTTCCCTTCCCCACAAGAACCAGGAGTGCAAAGACCTGGACTGCACAATTCCAATGGAGGATCATACTCAGGTGGTGAGGAAGAGGCATTAGCAGCCCAGCAATCAATCACCAAATCATCTTCCCTGATCCCACAAGTAGTAAAATCTGATGAAGCAATTGCCACGAATCCGGAAGCCTTTGGAATCAAAGAAGAGTTAAAGATCCCCCAACACTCAATTCCATGATTGTCTTCTCGAATCCCACAAAAATGGTGCTCACCAGCTGCCAAAGACACATACTGGGTTCCATTTGGATGACCAGCTAACAAATCAGTATCTCCCCAACATTTCAACTCACCAAAATCTGAAATCCCACAAAGTGAGGCCCTCCCTGAAGCTAAAGCTATGAAATTATCTACTGGACCTGAAACCCCTAGATAAGAAGAATTGGGTCCCCAGCAAATAAGCCCTCCATCTCTAACCCCACCACAGCTAAATCCTTCACCAGAAACAACCTTTTTGAACACAAGATTGCTAATAGAGTGGTCAGAAAACAGAGTGCTCTGTTTGGAACTCAAACTTTTGTTCCAAGTTTCAAAAATTTCCCAACAATCCACTGTACCAAACTCATGATCAGAGTAATATGACCCTCTAATGGCACACACATGGTTCTTCCCAGCAGCAACATGAGAATAAGCAGTGGTCTTGAATATGGGAGGTACGAGATCTATACCTGGGGCAATGGAGCTCCAACAATATGCCAGCGACGTGTTCGCTAAAATGCCACAAAGAAAGCCTTCACCGCCCGAGAGGGCAGCCATCGCTGGAATGTTGCTGAGAAAGGCCGAAGCCGAGGAAGAAGCCGAAGATGGAGTCGATGAAGAGCTGTTCTTTCCCCAGCAAACCACGTCCTGCTTGCCACTAGCGTCTATGGCACAAAAAAAGCCATCTTTGCCAAAAGAAGCAGAGATGGGGCCCATTGATCCGAACCCAGATGCGGTTGTGGAGCATAAGAGCAGGAGAAGAAGCAGAGGAGGTGCAGAGCGAGAGAACCCAGAAAGGGCTTGGTGGGTTTGCATGGTTTTCCTGGGTTTGGATCAGCGAAAGCATGGACTGGTTTGATGGTGAGCTTGCATGGTGCGGTTGGTGTTTGTGATGGTATTGTTGGTTTTGCTGAAGTTGAGTCAGAGCTGTGAGTGTGAGGATGGTGACGATGAAAGAACGTGGGTGTCGCAGCCATTTTTACAGTGTTTTTGTGGACCGTTAGAACGTCAAGTACTGAAAGTAGTTACCGCGCCGACTATATTTTAATGCTATTTGCCTCCATCTTTCTTTTAGTTTACTTCAAAAGCTTGAAGATTGGGTTTTCTATCAGTCTGTGTTCTTACTGTGTTAGCGTTAAACTAGGATTAGTCTGCCACTTTGTCGGGTGCATGCATAAACAAGTGGGGGGAGGTGCGATTTGACTATCGAAATCACTTGACTTCTTTATATAAATTGGGCTAGCTGTTTAATTGGTGATCTATGAAGCAATTGCTACAAATTTGTCATCCGCCATGTTAGTTTCGAATGTGTGTTATTAACACCTCTTTAGAGTTGTCATGTTCATATCGAATATATATCATCAACAATGATTTCGAATCGAAACTTTCATGTTTGTGTCGAATACCAGCTATGATATCGACATTGCCCAATGTTTTCCTTAAAACTTTTTTGATACTTGATATTGACGTAGTTGAGGTCAAATTTCATGATTTTCATTTATTCATTTTCACTCTATTCTTTTTCGGTGCTTCATTTTCTCTCTTCCCACTATGGCCTACATCAAATGCTTCTAGTATTCTATAAAATATACCATCACTCTTATAAAATAATTAGGCCACCAACATGGGTGGCATCTAATATGAAGCACAAGTTGACTAAATTATTTAGATAGATAACTTAATACTTCACTTAACTATCAGTCAGATAGCAAAGCACATTGCACAAAACCGCACAATCCTGTTTCATTTGCTGTGTTTCTACTTTGTAAGTGGTAAGATAACCTTGTTTAAGAATATCTTGTTCAAGCCCTTATACACATAAGATTACACTTGGAAACCATTTTTAAGACATCATGAAATAAGATAATATTCAAAAATGAAGAAAATGGAGGATCTAATAGACATGTGCAAATCGTGTTTGATCTGCATTTGATGTATTGAATGAGACCATATTGAAAAGCAGCTATTAAAAATCATAACTAGTACCAATGAGTAAGAAAGTGGGTTTGGTTGAAAGAAATTTAAATGGTAAAATACCAAATTTGTAATGGAGAAAGTGGCCCACTTGACAAATATATTATATTAATCCAATTGCTATGTGCTTTTCCATTCAACCCAAATTACTAGTACCAATGAGTAAGAAAGTGGGTTTGGTTGAAAGAAATTTAAATGGTAAAATACTAAATTTGTAATGGAGAAAGTGGCCCACTTGACAAATATATTATATTAATCCAATTGCTATGGCCCACTTAAGCTAAATGTGGATGCGTCATGGGACAAGAAGACTTTATTCACAGGTCTTGGAGCGGTCATTCGTGATGAGCATGGTGCTTTTATTAGGGGAGCGGGAAAGTTTAGACTAGCCTCTTCTCCTATTGAAGCTGAAGCTTTTGCAGCTTTACATGGTCTGGAGGTCGCCTCAGATTTGGGTTGTATCCACCTTGAGTGTGAGTCTGATTCAAAGGAGCTGGTTCAAAGTGTTAGTGGTTGTTTTCAAAAAGGTAAATGGACAATCTACCCAATCCTTGCTGCTTTAAGGGAGAAGAGTAGACTGTTTGGCTCTTGCAACTGGAAGTGGATTCCAAGGATAGCAAACAGAGCAGCGGATGCTGCAGCTTATGAAGCGAAGAGGAAGATGTGCGATGAGGTCTGGATCAGTAGACCCCCATCCTCCCTGGTTTTCGTGCTCCATAACGATGGTCTTCCTTGTCCTCCACAAGTGTAAT